CCTTTCCAGGGGCTGGGAGGGGGCAAAACCCCCCTTTCCAGGGCTGGAGGGATCAAGGAACCTGTTTGCATGAGCCAAACTCCTCACTGCTGGTTGGGATCCAACCCCTTCTTGCAGGACGTGGCGCTCCCAAAGGAAAGACCGGTCGTGGCGGGCGCCAGAAAAACCGTTTTGGGATTCCCGGGACGAGTCAGTCCAACCTTCCCAACAGCCAAGCGAGCCAAGATGTGGTGTCCCAGCCTTTCTCCCAGGGCCCCCTGACTCAGGGCTATATCTCCATGAGTCAGCCTTCACAGATGAGTCAGCCTGGGCTCTCCCAACCAGAATTATCACAGGTAAGCAGCACTGGGTGAGTAGGCTGGTCTGGTCTGACCTTTTCCTGGGATTTATGTTGGTGTCTGTGTGCAGGCACATCCTTGTTCTGGCACTGGGGGAAACAAAACTGAAACCATTTCGTGCTCCTGCACTGTGTGACTCTCAGAGCACACTGGGGCAGAAAGGTGAAGTGCTGCATGTCCAACCCTCAGCTGGAGCCTTAGCTTTGAGCCCCCTTTTTGACACAAATTCCGCGCCAAACCAGATTTTAAAAACCCAAGCAAACCCTCAGACTTTACCCTGGGCCCCCAGGTGTTCTAAAAGCTTCGTGAGGGAGCACCTGGGGGTGGCATGGAGCTTCACACAACCTTTTCCCTTCCAGGACAGTTACCTTGGTGATGAGTTTAAATCCCAGATTGACGTGGCGCTGTCACAGGACTCAACTTACCAGGGTGAACGTGCATATCAACATGGTGGAGTGACGGGACTGTCACAGTATTAGAGTGTAAGAACCTCAGGGGGTCCCTCCTCTGCTTCCTCCCCCTCCTCCAACCTCCTGAAAGGTTTGTGTGAGCAGTGCTGTCCCTAATATAGCCTCTTTTTGTCTCCTCTCTTCCAGGTTGAGGAAGAAGAGCTAAGCTTGCGTGGAGCTTAGTTCATCCGCATTTTATTCTGGGTAATAAAAAAAATAAAATAAAATGGATACCTGTTTTCCACTGCTAAAACTGAAGCACCACTGTGTGAGAGCAACAGGAGAAAGAAACCAACCAACGGAGAGGAGAGAGAGAATGAGAGAGAGAGAGAGAGAGAGAGAGAGGAGCGCGCGAGAGAGCCCACTGCTATAGCTCACTGAGACAAGGAGACTGACCGCGGAGGAGAGAGAGCCCTGACGGACCTGCTGGCGCCTCGCTGGGAAGGAACTCACCCCAAAAATGAGTGGTCAGCTGAGTCCCTGCTCCCCCAGTCACCCCCCCACGCTCGAGAGAAGGGCCTTAAAAAAAAAAAAAAACCCACAAAAAAAAGCAAGGTTTCACTTCATTCCATCCTTCTCTTTGCGAGCAGGGCATTAACTTAACTTTTCAGAGCAGACGGGGGAGAGGAAAACCCTCATCTCAGAGTTGTTCTGGTTTCTAAGGGGTACTATATTTTAGCAGTAACTGTTTACATTTTAGAAGCAGAGTATCTGAGAGAAAAAGAGAGAGAAAGAGAGAGAGGGAGGGAGAGTCCCTGACTCGGTGACAGCAAGCCAAGCAGAAATCCAGCGGGATCCAGCTGATGCTCAACTCTGAGATGCAGGTTTTGTTGTCCAACACTGGCTCTGAAATCTTAGTGTCATCGTGTCGCCCACATTCTGAACGGGTCTTTCGTGACGAGGTGGTTTTAAAGAGATCCTTTCAAAAAAAGGAGCACTGAGTTGTTTTTTTGTTTGTTTTTTTTTTTTTTTTTTTTTTTTTTTAAAAACAAAAGAAGTTTGTCTCTGAATTCTTAGTGGTGGACCTGGGAGATCCTTGTTCTGAGAAGCTTACAAAAAAAAAAACCAACGAAAAAAAATATGTTTCAAACAAAACTTAAATTAGAGCACCAAACTTTGAGAACTTTTTCAGTGTGATTTAAAGTTGCAGCAATCAGCCTCTTCTTCCTACATTGGATAGCAGTTAGAGTGAGAGGAGCCTGCGCGCTCGGGCAGGAGGAGGGTTTCAAAGTGTTTTCTGTCTGCTTTAATTGGCTACTGTCTGGACTCTACTCTGTGAAAAACAAGCCTTTCTGTCAGATGAACTTCGTGCTTGATAAGGGGATTGGGTTCCTGTGCCCTTCGGCCCCTGGAGGGAAGATGCAAAACAAAAAACAGCCCTGCTTTGACTGGGGGAGAAGGAGCGGAAACCGGGGATTATATTGGTGCGGAAGGAAAGACTCCACTGTCTCCAGGTGGGACTCATGGACAAAGCAGGCAGTTGGTGGAAGGTGGCCTCTGAGGAGAGCTGGGTTTAATTAGAGATATAATGGGTCAGGCTTTGGCGTGGCTTCTTCGGTGAGGAGAGCAGGGAGGTGCCAGAGCCAGGTGTTGGCAAAGCAAACCCGGAGCAGCTTTTTTTCAGGTAGTGGCCACGGCCGTGCCATCCATGCTGGCTGCAGGTCAGGACTGAAAACAGCACATTAAGAGAAGCCATCCAATTTCTAAGTTGTACCCATGTCTTAAACGAGTCATAATGGGAACACTGGGAGCGTTTTATTTCTGTCTAAACCTTTCTAGAAGCAGCGCGGAGAAGTGACAATTCCTGCAGAGCCCCGTTTTTACCAGATCCCTAAATTAGACTGACCTCTACCTCCCAATTGGCCAAGAACAGTAGAGAGTGATGTGCTAACCTGGGTGTTTTTCAAGTTGGAGATAAGTTAGCTTTATACTCAAAAGGGCTCCAAGTGTTTCTAGTCTTTTTTTTTTTGGGGGGGGGAGAACTCAAAAATACCTCTCATATGAATGTACTTCGATGCCGTGAAAACCCCACTTTTTGTACCCGGGGGGGGCAGCCCTTCCATTCCTGTCCTTCCCGTAGGTTGTTGCCCTGCTTTCACAACCTGTTCTTGCTGTAGTTTCCCCAGGGTGTCTCCCCCCACCCAGTGCAGCCCCCCCAGTACCCCGGGACTCGTGTTCACCCTTTTCGCCTTCGGTCCCGCGGCGACCGGAGTCCGAGAACTGCAAAAACCAAACCCACAACCCCATTCTTTTCTCATCAAAAGCCTCCAGAGTTTAGACTTCTAAAAAACAAACAGTGAAAGAATGGAGACACAGGCCACCTTCCTTCCTCGTGGGATGGACTGTTTTATTTATTAACATTTGCCGAAGGGCTTTTTAATTTTTTTTTTTCCTTCCGTAGGCTGCGTAGTTGGCGTAGACTTTTCTGATAGGTTTGAGCTGGACCCCTCTGTGCAACGCTATCCATGAGTAATGTAGCCCCCCCTCCTCTCCCCTCACCCCTTTATTTCACTGCTGGGAATGCTTGGCCTCTGCTTTGTGCTGGTTTTTTCCTTTGTAGCAGTTAACTCTGAGTTTTACAAATCCAGACATCAGTGCTAGCACGGTGTTTAAAAAAAAAAAAAACTCTCTTTTGATTTATTCTTCTTCTTCTTCTTTTTTTTTTTTGTCTCAGTTTGTTTTAAAACCTGTTTGTCATCAATAAAATATGAAAATAAACAGCTCTTGCATTCAAGGTGGCCCCTTAAGTTTCAATGAGGAAACCATGCAACGTTCATTAAAGCTTAGTCTGATTGTATAAACTTCAAGTTTATTACTTTTTTTAAACACAGACTAGTACAAAAGTGGTGGTGGGGGGTGTGCATAGCATGGGGGAGGGGGGTGAGCAACTCAACTGGGAAAACTGGGAAATGCCCCAACCCTCTTCCCTGCTCCCAGCCCTGGGGGGGGGGGGGGTGCAGGGTGGGAGCCCCCAGGATTTGGGAAAGGCTGGATCTGGAGGGGCCCAGTCCAGCCTGGAAGCTGCCCCAGTGCTGCAGTAAACATGGACATGGCTTTTCCCTGTGGCACAGGGCTGGGGGGGCTCAGCAAAGCTGCTCCTGGGACCACCCTGGGGGGGGGTTTAGGCCAGGTCTGGGCACCACCCCGGGCATAAACTCCTTGGAGCTGCTCCAGGGTGGCTCCAGTGGCTCCCTGGCTGCAGGAGGGGGACATTTGCCCTTCGTGGTGTTGGAGAAGCGGCTCAGGAGTCCCCTCCTGGCCCCAGCACAGGAACAAAACACTTAACACTTGAAGGTTTTGTTTTTTTTTTTTAACTCTTGATCTTAAATCTGGGATTTAACTCCCCGGAGTTAAGCCCTTAGAACATTTTCAGTGGTTGAGAGGGGTTTCAGCAGGAGCAGGGCTGGGCTGGGCTTGCCCTGGAGCTCTCAGGAGACACCTGGGTGGGAAAAGATTAGTAAAGCTACACCTAAAAAGTACCCGAGCTGCTCCGGTCTTGGTCTTCAGCTACACATTTTAGGGGGTGTTGTTAAGCAAAAAACACCATCACAGGGGACCCCCAGAGTGGTTAAACCCTCAGTGCTTGCCATGGGGAAGGGGGGTGGAAGGAGGTGGTAAAACTTCATCAGACCTCGAAGGCGACACAACATCGGTACGAAAACAGCAGAGAAAAAAATAAACAGAGGCCACAGGGGCAGGTTCACAGTTCCAAAAAAAAAAAAAAAACCAAAAAAAAGAGCAAAAAAATTCAAGTCTAACTCGGATTCCTGTTCTGTTCCCACCCCTTGCCCTAAAAAATAAAACAATAACAAAAAAACCCCCAAAAGTGGTGTCAGGAAAGTCCCACCTGAAGGGCTGGGGGTGGCTTTGAACAGACATTCAGCAGCCAGGCCCGGGATTTAAACCTTGAGCTGCTGGAAAACTCAGAGCCCACACGCTGGGAAGTGGAAGAAAAGTGGTCAACGAGGGAAGACGGGGCAGATTCGGGTCCCTGCTGCCCGGGGCTGCTCGTTAGGGGCGTTAAATACCATTGCAGGGGCCTGGGGCCAACCCAGAAAGCAACAAATAAACCCAAAATAACCCTAAAATACACAAGGGCCTGAGAGCTCTGCCCGTGCCTGGTGCTCGGCTGCCACCTGGGGGGGACACAGGGACAGAGGGACACGCAGGGAAGAGGGACACACGGGGACAGAGGGACAGACGGGGACAGAGGGACACACAGGGACAGAGGGACACACAGGAACAGAGCCACCCTGGGCTCATCCATTTGCAAATGAGGTAAATTAATACTGACACGGCGGGTTGGGAGAAGATGCCACCGACTCCTTGCCCGTGCCCACTGTCCCCCACAGCCCCCCCCCCCTCGGCCACAACATCCATCCTGCAGCTCCCAGGGGGCTTTTTTGGGGCAAAACCTCCGTTGCATTTGGCCACCCACCATTTCTGTCCCCCCCAAGCCACCCTGTCACCATAAAACCAGCTCAGGGCTGAGCTCCCCCAGCCAGGGAGAAAAACCTCGTGTGTCCCACCCCGGGCTCTGCCTCCCTCCCCGGGGGAGGGATTTGGTCACACAGAGCTCGTGCCCTCACACCATCCCTCTGTCCTGCAGCAGCACCTCCTCCCCTCACAGCCACACCCGGGGACCCCCCCAGCCCCATTTCACCCCCAAAAGCCATTTATGCCCCGAGAAAGCTGCCGAGCCAAGGAGCCCAAAGAATCAGCACCTCAGGGGGAGTCTGGGACTCACAGCCTGGTGCTACCACCCCCTGTGGGGCAGGGAATGGACAACCAGCACCAGGCTCGATCATAATCCCAGCCCAACACCCAGGTAGTCCTAAACAGCAAGTCCAGCCCTAAATCGCAAGTCCAGCCCTAAAAGCCACAACTCCAGCCCTAAATCACAAGTCCAGCCCTAAATTACAAGTCCAGCCCTAAACCACAAGTCCAGCCCTAAATCACAACTCCAGCCCTAAACCACAACTCACTCCAGCCACGATCCCTTCGCGCCACCCCAGAACTCTCCGACCCCCCGACGCACCCACGGGAAACTCCCCGAACGCCGGCACAGAGGGGATGGAACCACTCGGGGTTTGTTCCACCCGGCAGCCACCCCGCCCTGCTCGCCCTCTCTCTACCTGCAGCCACACTCGTCCACCACCATGTCCTCGTAGTGCCGCAGCACCACGTTGTCGCTGTTGTCGTAGTAGAGGATGGAGATGGGGGAGAGCCTGACGGGGACGCAGCAGGGCTGGGGGGTGCCCTGGGGGTCCAGCGAGTGCACCATGGTCTGCAGGACGGCGTGGTTGGTGCTGTTGAGCTCGGCCGTCAGCGGGAAGGGACACTCCCCCCGGCAGTAGTTGGCCAGGTAGCCCTGGGGGGCGATGATCCAGTTCTCCCAGCCCACGTCGCTGAAGCTGATGTGGAGCCGCCGCGCCCGGCACAGGTTGCTCGGGGTGAGCGGGGGGAGCCCGGCGCTGCTCCTCCTCCTCCTCCTCCTCCTCCTCCTCTGAGGGGCCTGGCACTGCTGGCTCAGGGTCACCACCAGCAGGGAGGTGTCCAGGAAGGAGTCGATGCCGGAGCAGAGGCCCCGCGGGGCCCCCCCGCTCGCCCCGACACCCGCCGAGATCTCCAGGATCAATCCCAAGCTCCTGCCGCGCATCCTCTGGTCCTTCACTGCCACGCTCAGGTTGAAGAGGAGGGACTTGTGCAGCTGAGCAAAGGACTGTTCCACCAGCGGCTTCTGCCTGGGCTGGGACACCCCCGGGGGGGACAACTCGGGGGTCTGGAAGAGCCTCAGCTCAAAGACCTGCCCCCGGCGGGAGGGGTGGTAGGAATTGTGGTGGAATTTGATCTCCAGCTGGGCCATGGTCAAGCGCTCGCCCTCCTCCAGCACGGAGAGGTTGAAGAACAGGCGCTTCCGCAGGCACAGCCACCCCTGGGGCTGCTCCTCGGGGATGAAGGGGCCTGGCAGAGAAGGAGAAATAGAGGTGGGGGCGGTTGGACCCTCGGGCTGGGCAGGGTCGGCCTCCCGGGGCTCCAATTTGAGCACAGCAAGAGGAAGACGGGGCTGGCAGAGCTGGATGGAGCTGATGAGGCTGCAGGATCAGCCCCCTGGCACGGCCTTCAGGAAGGGCTGGAGGCACAAACTGGGCTCCAGCCTGTGGCACTGGGATGCTGCAGCCATTCCAGCATCTCCTCCGGGTGCTACTTCACGTCCCAAGGTGTTATTTTTCCCCAGCTACAGCCACATCCCCCAGGACAGGGAGGGGTTTGGGATGGAGGGGAGAGGAGGGCAAAACAGCAGCAAATCCGGGGAGCTGCCTGGGTTATCCAGCCCTTGGTTTCCACGGGAAAACCGGAACCACAAGAGAAATGAGCTCTGTGGTGCCTCGAGACCTCAAAAGGACTGAACAGTTCCCAGTGAACTGAGAAGGGCTCCCAGGGGCTGAGCAGCCAGA